GTAGGGAAGAGAAGAAGTGTTCTCATAGGGTTCCTAAGGCTATATAATCTTTATGGATACAGACTGCCACATGTTTCTAACTCAGAATAGCAGAGGGTGTGTGTGTGTTCAAATCATCAAGCTTTCAGTTAGCAGCTGACTGACCACTGTACCACTAAGACTTCTTGACAAAAGTATTCAAAGAAAACCTCTGCTGTTGAGTCTGTTCTGACTCATAGCAAGCCTGTGTGGGGTTTCTGAGACTGTAAATCTTTACAGGATTTTGTCCCAGGGACTCCCTGGTGGATTGGAAATGCTGACCTTGTGGTTAGGAGCCCCCCACACAACCCACTGTGCAACCAGGCCTCCTTTGAGAATGAATTAAGAATTACTTCACCCCCCACCAATCCCCTTTGTTGTTGTTTAGTGCCATTAAGTTGGTTCTGACTCATAGGGCTTGTCAGGAGCAGGTGGTGGGTTTGAACCACTGACCTTGTCATTAGCTGTCCAGTGCTTACCCTACAATGCCACACCAGGACTCCCCTTTAGGTTGTAGGAATTAGAAAGAAAAGATAACAAGAACAAAAAATAAAAAATAAAAATAAAATCTTGGAAAAATGACTAGATTTCATCATAGTCCCACTGCTTATGATATTCTGATTTGTTGTGACTGATTCACAGCTTTATAGATTTAAGGCATTTTTAGATTCAGTGTGTCTCTAAGGTTGTTTTCATCATCTTTTTGACCTATTTTGGTGCCTTTAGTTTCTCTCTGACATTTAGAAATATGAATATTAAGTTACTTGTTATATATTTAGTTGTTGTTGTTGTTAGGTGCTACCAAGTCAGCACCTACTCATAGCAACCCTATGTACAACAGACCAAAACACTGTCTGGTCCTATGCCAACTTCACAATCATTGCTACGACTTAGTCCGTCTCTGCTACCATTGTGCCAATACATCTCATTAGGGGTCTTCCTCTTTTTCTCTGACCCTCCACCTTACCAAACATGATACCCTATTCCAGGGACTGGTCCCTCCTGACAATATGTCTGAAGTATTAGAGACGAACTCTAGCCATCCTGGCTTCTAAGGAGCATTCTGGCTGTACTTCTTCCAACACAGATGTTTGTTCTTTGGAAGCCCATGGCACTTTCAGTATTCTCCTCCAACACCATAACTCAAATGCATCAGTTCTCCTACGGTCTTCCTATTCACTGTCCAGCTTTCTACATGCATATGAGTGAAAATACCATGGCTTGGGTCAAGCGCACCCTAGTTCTCAAGCTGACATCTTTGCTCTTCAACACTATAAAAAGGTCTTGTGCAGCAGATTTGCCTATTGTAATCCTCGTCTGATTTCTTGACTGCTGCTTCCATGAGTGTTGATGGTTGATCTGAACAAAATGAAGTTTTTGACAACTTCAATCTTTTCTCCATTTATATGGATGTTGTACCGTATAAATGGAGAAAAGATTGGTTCAGTTATGAGGATTTTTGTTTTCTTTACATTGAAGTGCAACCCATACCAAAGGATGTGGTTTCTGATCTTGATCAGTAAGTATTTTAAATCCTCTTCACTTTCAGCAAGCAAGAATTTATCATCTGCATAACACAGGTTGTTAATAATCTTCCTCCAATCCTGATGACATGCTTTTCTTCATACAATCCAGCTTCTCAGATTATTTGCTCAGCATACATGTTGAGTAAGTATGGTAGAATAATACACCCTGGTGCACACCATTCCCAATTTTAAAACCATTCAGTGTTTGCTTATTCTGTTCAAACAACTGCCTTTTGGTCTATATACAGATTCTTTGTGAGCACAAATAAGTATTCCATACTTGTTTGCAATGTTGTCCGTAGCTTGTCATGATCCACACAATCAAAAGCTTTGTTGAATAGGTAAACATCTTTCTAGTATTCTCTGCTTTCAGCCAAGATCTATCTGACATCAGTAATGATATTTTTTGTTCCATGTCCTCTTCTGAATCTGATTTGAACCTCTGGAAGTTCTCTGTCAATGTATGATTGCAGCCAGTTTTGTATTACCTTTGATAAAACTTCAATCCCATGGGATATCAGTGATATTGTCTGATGATTTCTGCATTCCATTGGGTCATCTCCCTTTGGAATGGGTACAAATATGAATCTCTTCCAATCAATTGGCCAGGTGGTTGTCCTCCAAATTTCTTGATATAGATGAGTGACTGACTGTGTCCATTGCTGCATCAGTTTGTTGAAAGATTTCAATTTGTGTTCCATCTATTCCTGGTGCCTTATTCTTTGCCAAAGATTTCAATACATCTTGGGCTTCTTCCTTCAAGATCATTGCCTCTGGATCATATGCTACCTCTTGAAATGATTGAACATCTGCCATTTTACTTACTTACTTACTTATTTATTTATTTGTTTTTGGTACAGTGGCTCTGCATATTCCTTCCATCTACCTTTGATGCTTTCTGCATCATTCAATATTTGCCCATAGAATCCTTTAGTATTTCAAGATGAGGTTTGAGGTTTTACTTCAATTCCCTCAGCTTGAGAAATTCTGAGCATGTTCTTCTCTTTTGGTTTTCTAACTCTAGCTAGATCTTTGCACATTTTGTTATAACATTTGACTTTGTTTTTTCGAACTGACCTTTGAAGTTTTCTGTTCAGCTCTTATATCTCCTCATTTCCTCTATTTGCTTTATTATCTCTACATTGGAGAGCAAGTTTCATTCATAGTCTCTTCAGACATCCATTTTGGTCTTTTCCTTTTTTCCTGTCTTCTTAATGACTTTTTGCTTTCTTCCCGTATCATATTCTTGATGTCATCCCACAACTCTTCTGGTTTTTGGTCTTTAGTATCTATTGCATGAAATCTGTTTTTCAGATGATCTTTAAATTCAGGTGGGATATGTTCATGGTCATATTTTGGCTCTTGTGGACTTGTTTTCATTTTCTAAAGCTTCAACATGAATTTGGAGTCCTGGTCTTGTGCTGCAGGTTAATGTGCCAGACTGCAAAGCCGTTTGAACTGCAAGGTCAGCAGTTCAAGCTCACCAGCTGCTCCTCAGAAACCCTATACAGAGTCACTATGGGTCAGAACCAACTCTATGTCACTTAACAACAACAACCATCTGAATTTGCATATTCACATTTGATGGTCTGTTCCACCATCTATCACTGGCCTTGTTTTGGCTGATGATATGGAGCTTTTCCAATGATGTAGTCAATTTGATTTCTGTGTATTCTATCTGGTGAGTTCCTTGTATGTATTTGTTTATGTATCTTTTATGTTGTTTATAAAAGGTATTCACAATGAAGAAGTCATTGATCCTGCAAAATTCTATTATGTGTCCTCTGGCACTGTTTCTATCACCAAGGTCATATTTTCTAACTACTAAACCTTCCTGTTTGTTTCCAATCTTTGCATTACAATCACGATAATCATTATACTATTACAAGCACAATAAAATATCAATACATCTTTATTGCATGTTTGATCAATTTCAAACTGAAGAAGTTGGTAGAAATTTTCAGTTTCATCAGCACTGAATTTTGTGGTTGATGTGTAAATTTCAATAATAGTGTTATTAACTGGTCTTCCTTTTAGGTGTATGAATATTTTCCTATCACAGACAGCATTATACTTCATGGCTGATCTTGGTGTGTTCTATTTGATGATGACTATGACCCCATTCCTCTTCAATTTGTCTTTCCTGGCATAGTAAACCATGTGATTGTCAGATTCAAAATGACCAATCCCAGTCCATTTCAGCTCACTAATGCCTAGGAAGGATATGGATGTTTACGTGTTCAGTGTCATTTTTGACAATTTCCAATTTTCCAAGATTCATACTTTGTACATTCTATCTTCTGGTTTTTAATGGATGTTTATAGTTGTTTCCCTTCATATTGAGTTGTGCCCCAACAGCAAATGAAGGTTCCGAAGGTTTTATTATGGTCAGCTCTACTTTGAGGAGGCAGCACTTCCCCAGTTGCATTTTGAGTGCCTTCCAATTTGAGGGGCTCATCTTACAGCACTGTTTCTGACAGTATTCAGGTGCTCTTCATCCTATTTCAGTATTCAATAGTCTGGTGCTGATTGACAGTGGAACACTGTCAATCAGCAAATTTTCAGTGATTAAATATTTGGAAGTAGTCCGTCTCTCCTTCTTCCTAGTCTGTCTTCATCTGGAAGCTCAGCTGAAACCTGTCCACCATGGGTGACTCTGCTGGTATTTAAAATGCCCGTGGCATAGCTTTCAGAATTACAGCAACATACAAGCTACCACAGTATGACAAACTGACAAACAGATGGTAAAAATGTGCTGTATTTTTACTGCAATTATTTTCTCTATTTACAAGTATTTTAGCCTGCTCTAGCTACCCTTTTGGAATTTTGATAAGGCATTTGGAGAGTCATTGGGGGATGAAAGGCTATGGTGTGGTTTTGCTGATGCCGTTCTTTTTTAAGGCTCAACTTGTTAGCCAGTAAATTTTATTACTTTCTACATTTTTTCCTTCTCCCTAAAATCAGATTTGCAGCTGCGTCAGTAATCGAAGTGGATGTGTTGAGGGTTTTCCTTTGGATTAGACCCAGGTCTGTTTTTGGTAGTGACTTTAAGAAGTCATGGATCCCATCTTAAAGGTTCATTAAAGATGCCTTAGGAGATGCTTCCTACCCTACAAAGAATTGTTTCCAGATAAAAGGATTAGCAAGGCATTGGTAGATATGGGGCTGATTGTGCTTCTTTAGGACTTTTAAAACCACAAGCAACTTTTGCTTTTCCAGTCCTTAGAAGTATCCCCAGTCTTGGTAAGTATTTTCCTGTCCTTATACTTTCTCATGTGCTGTGGACACTCCTGTTGACTATTTTATAATGTCTCATAAGGTAATAGCATGCTTTGACCCTAAAGATAGTGTTAATGTAAGACTCTCTACTTTTTCTTTCATATGGTTTATTTATATAGACTATATAGACACTTGTTTCTTTTTCATTTATGAGGATGTGTCTTGATCTTGTTACAGGTGTCAGTTGTACCCAAGACGATCCCAGCAGCAAGTACCTGTGGTGGATTTCCAGGCTGAATTGAGACAGGCGTTCTTGTCTGAGACCCCAAGAGGTGGTTAAAGTGCTATTGGAACATTGAGGAAACTGATTGAAACAGAAAACCAGGTTAGAGCTAATGAAGCAATTATCAGGAAAAAGAAGAACTCTTCCAAGAGTAGGATATTTGGGGTCCATGTAATTGTCTGGGACAGCTTTAAAGAAAAACAAAAAATTTACCATAGTTCTTTTTATAACAAGCACATTGTAGAAAGTTTGAAAAGGTAAAAGCATTTTCTTCTCCTGATACTACTGTAATATATGTAGATTGTACAAAATGTAACTAGTTAGTTACCTTAGTTCCATTTCAGTTCGTGGCAACCCCATATATGTTAGATTAAAACAGCTTCACATGGTTTTCAGTGGCTCAGTTTTCAGAAATAGATTGTTGCTAAGAGCCTTCAAATCAATTTTGACTCATAGCCACCCTGTATTAGGGTTTCTGAGGAGCACTGTTGAGTTTGAACTGCCAACCTTGTAGTTCCCAGTCCAGTGCTGATCCTATAGCGCCACACCAGGAGCCAGGCTTTGTTCTGTGTCACTTCTGGGTGGAACCCAAAGTCCCACCTTTTAGTTATTAGCTGCACTTGTTACCTCTTTGTCCCACCCAGGGTAGTCTTTGTAATGCATGTTTTTAGTAGCTTCATTCATATTTTATTTTTCATTAATCTTTAATTTAGCATTTTGTAAAAATGACTTAATTTTAAATGGTTGCTGAGTATCTTACTGAGGAATGTTTTACAATCTCTTTTATGGGATATTTTATTTTTTCTGTTGGTAGTTTGAATAAAACGTCAATGAAGCTTTACCTAAACCTTTAGATTGAATAATTTCTAAATATATGCAGATGTGAAAATAAATTGCATCGAGTAACATGAACTAAAGGGACAGACTATTAGCCTTCATTGCCTTAAAATTATTAGAATACTATTATTATATATGCTCATTGAAATCGAAATCAACATCACATGCATAATCAATGACCTTTTAAGGTTTAAGGAAGTGAAATATTTCTTATGCCTATTTATTATTTCTTCTTCTTTTTTTGTTAAATCTTGTTCACACTTTCCTTCTTGACCAATGTATTTTGTGTTTTGATTAGCACGCAATGTAATAAAGACAGCCATGACTTTTTTTTTTTTAAATTTATTTAAGATTATTATTGTAGATTGAGCGAAAGTTTACAGGGCATATCATCAGTTTTACATTAAACAACTCATATACCTTGTTTCATTACATTGATTATAATCCCCTCCATGTACCATCAGTTAACAGTATTTTTCTCTTCCACTAGCCATGACTTTTTTAAATGTTGTAGTTTACAGTATGTTTATGTTGATTTTGTACAATTTTAGGAAAAAAGCTATTCTGTACTTGATTTTGATTTACTAAACAATATTTTCCCTTTGAACTTTCTCCTACTTTAAGATTATAGGGTTTAGTATGTATCTTCTTAAAAATTAAATGGGAGATGAAGGTAATTTATGAGTTCTTATTTAGATTTTTTAGATTTTTGATTTTGAAATATTTCCTGCCAACTTGAGTTGATTGGTCCTATTTCTGGCCACCATTTTTCAGTTCTGATGACAAAGACATCTGAGAGAGAAAGAAAGAGAAACTCTCCCCTGTTCATTCTAGCATTCTTTAGTAATTACATGGATTTGATTGTAAAATGGCAGTGGAATCGGATTGTTTATCTGAGATGTTCTCAGAGTAAGGGCATTTTTCAGAGAGTTAGGTACAAAATTGGTTTTAAAGGCCAAGCAATTTTTTGCCATCTTTGTTGTTGTTGTTGTCAGGTGCCATCAAGTCAGAACCGACTCATAGCGACCCCATGCACAGCAGAAAGAAACAATGTCCAATCCTGGGCCAACCTCACTACCGCTGCCACACTTGAGTCCATCAATGAT